AAACAGTTATGCCCTTGGAAAAATTTAATTTATGGAAAATGGCCTCGTTAGCGCTCTCACGGGTACAAATCTTGCCAGATTTTTATAAAACTTATACTACAAATTAATATTAGCAATATCTCGGACAAGTTCTATAATGGTGGACGATCGACTTTTTTTTAAATATTATGACCCTTGGAAATATTAAATTTATGAAAAATGGCCTCGTTAGCGCTCTCACGGGTAGAATTTTATTATGAATCTTATAGTATACTATATATACTATAAGTAATGCCCTTGAAGGTCTGTTTGAAATATTTAGTATACAATATAAAAAACTTTTTTTGTCCTCCGCTCACGCTTTTTATTTACAAATTGTTTTAAATTTTAAAGAACAACAAAAAAAAAGTGTTTTTTTTGTTGTTGCCCTTGGATAGATAAAATATGTGCAACGCGGGGGACATTGGAATTCTGTTCTTTTATCATTTTTACAGCACTGCATCAATACCGCTGCTGGTAGACTATCAGTCCTCGAGTTTATCATCAGCTCAGTGCTGACATGATTTATAACAAAGCTGTCTTAAAATTGTCCGCTTATAAAGTAAAAAATTATAAAGAAACGAAGAATTCAAGTCACTCAAGCAAAGTTGGTTGTTATAGATGGATATGACTAATTTTTAGGTTTTTGTGTTGTTTTTATTTTTTGTCGATTTTATTCTTTTATTTTCTAATTTTTGGAGTTAATAATATTCACCATGGCACTATTTAATTTCATAAAAAAATTAATTCCTTTTTTTAAAGTACTTAAAATATACTGTGTGCGGTAATAAACAATAGAAGTATAAATCAATTAGATTATAAACTTATCCAAGGATAGATTGAATTAAATACACTGTAAAATAATGCTATGAAAACCCCAAATAAAATTCTTGTTCCACGATGAAATCAAATATTTTTCCTTGATAGTCACTGCTTTATTTCAAACAAGAAGATTTCAACATATCACTGTTTTTAAGGTGGAAATGCAAATCCTCTTTAAGTAAAGAGACTCTCCAATTGTAATGATTGTATTTCAATACGCTACAAGAAATCACTCAAGAAACAAGTCCAAATTTTGCAGAGTTGTACTGGAAACTACGAAATATTTCGGAACAAAAAAGAAAGTAGGGTTCTCTAGAATACTTTTAGCATATGCTCGCAAAAAACAATGCAAGAACTACCTGGATGTCAGTAGGTTGACCACTTTTCCTTTAAGGGCCCCTCTACTATTAGAGTAATGGTTAGATTTTAGGGTTAAGGCTAGTGTTAGGGTGAGTTTAGTATATCTCTTATTTGGGTTTAGACCCTAAAGTATAAGAATGCCAAATTATTTCTAAACCTGTCGAACATACTAGTGGCAGTCTAAATTTTTCTAAGTATTCTAAAAGAGAGACGAAAGATGCCAAAGGGACATTCAAACTCATAAGTCGAAGATAAACTGACAACGCCATAGCTAAAAAAAGAAAAAGACAAACAGACGAACAACAATACACAAACGACAACATAGAAAACTAAAGACTGAGCAACACTAACCCCACCAAAACATAGAGTTATTGTTTAGGACGTCTAAGAAGAGATTTTAATATATCACATGGATGGAATCGACAGTATCTTGCAAAGATTTAAACATATATAGATTACAAAGTCAGTAATCTCATGTCGTAATTCAAAGAATGACAGTCAATAGGGCAGTAGAAAAAGGTGAACAGACATTTAACCGTCTGCAACCATCATTTGTATATTTACAAAATAAAATATGATGGGGATTAGAGGGTTAAGCACTAAATTTGTAATCCATGCACAGTAGATCATGATAATTAAACTGTATTCTTTCACTTCCTTGATCTGATTAGCATCAGTTATTTTGCCTAAGGCTTTACAGTTTATATATTAGGTGTACAATAATAGTGCATTAAGTTGTTTTCCAAACATGAAAATATTTGTGTTTATAGGAATTCGACTCATAGCTATAATCATTTTCACTGCAAATATTTACAAGTTGTGTTTTCATTTTGAAGCCCCTATTTTCTCACGTTTCTTGTGTAAAGGGACATCTCTTCCTAAATTTAAATAATATCGAAGAAATATTTATTGTTTAGTATATTTTTTTTCATTTGAAAGTATCTGTATCATAATATAAAAAAAATTAGCAGATGCGGTATGATTTCTCAACAAAAGACCAAATAACATAGAATGTTAGCAACTATAGGTCACCGTACGGCATTCAACAATGAGCGAAACACATACTGCATAGCAAGCTATAAAAGGCTTTGAAATGACTAATGTAAAACAATGCAGACGAGAAAACTAACGGCCTGATTTTGTTTTAAAAAAAAACAATAAACGAAAAAACAAATATGATAAACAGCAACAAACGACAACCACTGAATTCCAAGCTCCTTTCTTTGGACAGGCACATACAGAATGTAGCAGGGTTTCAATGCTTGCGGGCGCGCAAATCCACCCATACCTGGCCCATTGGTGTAAAAGCACAACATAAGATCAAACTATAAAAATCAGTTGAAAAAGACTAAACTCATCAGATCGATACAAAACAAAAAAACAACTAACAAAAATACAAAATATATAAAGTACAGATCTGAGAGTAGTTACTGAAAGCTATTTCAAAGTCAATAACAAGTAATTAAATAATCATGTAACTAAGACAAATATGTCAATCAGTACACATCCAAATTCAAGCGGATTAAGGGTAAAGACGTCATTAGCAGTCAGAAAAAAACATAACCTTGTACAATGCCAACATATAGGTATCGAAAGATTGTAGGACCGTGCATGTGAATGTACACATGTGTATAACACTAGTTTTAGTTGGATTTTATTTGATTGATATCAAGATCAACATTTATACCGATAAAACAAAGATCTAGTAACAGTGTTGAATTGGTAACCGTTTAGAAAAAGTTTATTTAAAGGTTATAATATAAATATGATATAATATGATATAATCTCAATAGTTTGTAGGTGTATCATCACGACGAAATATAAGGTCCCGAAAGGTCTTTAAACAGAAAGAAGAACTGGAGCGTCGTCAGATCCTTGTAAGCGAAGCTTGGGATACAGGGTCAATATTTCAAGCAGATTGAACTATTTACTTACCTATTCGTATTCTTTCTGACAAGAAGAATCGAATGAGAAATACCTTTTAACGGGATCCCACCCTTAAATATCTTGATTCTTAATCGTTTATCTCCTTAATTTGTGCTATTGCCATCGTCTTGGCATCCGCCCTAAACCTTTTCAAAGCTCTACTACTGAAGCCAACTTAAAGCCAACTCTTACGAATGTCTAGATTATATTTTTTTAATTAATTCAACCAACAACACAACATTGCCGCCATCAAAATGTCTAGATCTACATTCTATATATTTCTACCAAAACCATCAAACGATTCATTATAGGAGTTATTGCTCATAAATTAGAAGATTCCGGCTAGTTTAAGGGTTTTTGTCCTATTTCTTTTTATTATTTTGAAAACTGGTATATATTGATAAAAACTACCAATCTCATTGGTAATCATAAGTATATAAAATCAGTATAATGATCGGCAAAATAAGATCTGCCAAAATTTAATTGATATTACTGAAACCCATCAATGGGCTAATTGGAGGTGTTATTGTCTTTTAATGAGGATATTTGAACAATTTTTATATTTTGTTTATTATCCAATAATTTATAATAGGTAAACAGAAACTGTAGAAAGCAAAGTAATGAAAATACTTGATCTACAAAATGCTGACATGAATGAAACAATCACTTGATTCGTAAAATGAGTTATTCTCTTTATTTTACCAATTTTGACTATTTCTTCCTACTATCTTGCCCCACTGGGGATTAGAAATATGGTCATCATCGGTCTCCATCCGACAGGCAGTAAAACCCGCGCCTAATTGGGGCGTCCGTTTGGCTGTGCGGGATGTCCAAGTAAGCAGCCACCACCGGTCAGAATGGGGACGTTAAATCGGATGACTCGTGTAAAGAGGGTGCCACGCTCTTTGCACGTTAAGAACCCTTGCTAGGCTAAATTTCTGTCCCTATTCAATACCCTCATTTTCATTTGGCAGTCTTAATGACCCCGTCCTTCATCCCGGACGGCCTCCACAGAACCTACCTTTTGTATGTATTGTTAATTTGTTCTCGTCCTGAATATGAATGAAATATTTGTCACTGGACGTTAAGCAGCCAACAATCAATCAATCAATCCTACGTTCTATCTTGAAAACAATCTTTAGTCAGAAACTTTAATGGAAACGGCAAAAATAAAAAATAATTGGCAATACGAGATCTACTGTCTGGTGACTTATCGGAATTATTTTCTTTAAATGAGGGTCGTAAGGAGGGGTATGTGCACAGACGAACAGCAGATAAAATGGCTATTTTACGGTGAACGAAAAAATATAAAAATATTATTCACGTTGCTTTTTCACCAATTTGTACGAATCGTGGTAAATAAAGAGCTTCGTGTAAACGACAAAATATTTCTCTGTTAATCCTAAGTTACAACTACTGCAACCTTGTTCTGACTGATAGAAAACATTAAAATCTGTAAAGCTGTATCATTATTTTCTATCGCTATTTGCAGTTCTCTCCCCTAATGAAAGCTACACTCTGTTGGTTTAATGCTTCGAGACTACTATTCGATGAAGGATGAAATCACTTGTATTATATCTTTATTTAAGATAAAAACATATTTTTATCAGTTGATATATCCATCGTAAACGGAAACAAAATATATATATTTTTGCAGTACTTTTAAATCTATACAAATAATTGTTTACAGGACATTTTTAAATAAATTTACAAAAAGACTTGATGATTTGAACAGATGGTAGTTTTATAGCTAAAAAATAAATTTTTATCCCATTTACACGGAAATGATTTTTTTAATGGTGCCACGGTAAAAGTAAATTTGTCCGGAAAAAAGTTGTTTATTGAAAACAACAACACTGATATTAATCTTTGGTACATATAATTGGACGACCAAAAGAAATGTTTCCTTTGGCAGTCTTGTCCAACCGGAAAAGTTCATTAAATTAAATGCGCAAAAGTTGATGAAGACAATAACAGGTATACTATAAATTGACTCGTACCCATGTATGTGGAACCAGTGTCTTCTGGAAAATACAAATACGTAAGTAGTATATGTTTGTTTTATTTTAAATTTTTATATAATATAATACTTAAAAAAATATTAATTTGTATCTTTAATTGAGATATGATTTAAGTAATATTAAGTTTTATAATAAAACATATTTCCCTTACCCACGTTCTTTTTAAAACTTAACAAATACTTGTAACAGAATTTATATATGGGTACCAAAACTGGTGTGTGGCTGATAACGTGTTTAGTTAACTTCTACATGTCTATATAAACGTTAATCAAAAGAGGACAATGTGATTTTGTAAATATGATTAATATTAGTAAATAAATATGATCTAATTGATTTTAATATGAGTGATCGTTTTTTTTTTAATCAGAATAGCAACTATATTTGAACAGGATTTAACATCAGTGATCAAAGAATGGAACTGTCAAAAAATACAGCGTTTTTCATCTTGATTGGGATGATGCTTATAACCAGATGTTATGGTAAGTTTAACTTAATAAATTATTACTCTCTCTCTCTCTCTCATCGGTTGACTAGGTCACAGGGTGGGTTCGAACCAACGACCCTCCTCGTTTAAGACAACAACTCCATAAAGGCGGGTTTTTTATAGGGCTAAAAAGTTTTTCATAGATTCATTATAACGATTGACGATATTAAAAATACAGCTCTTGTTATACTGTATTTGCCTCTCTCTCTATCTTTCACTTTCAATCAATCAATTTAAATTTCCTTTATTATTTCATAATTGAAAATCGTAGTTACCCTTCATTATCAGAATGAATGAAAAATCAATACTTATGGTTAAGCGGTAAATGCATGTATATGTAATGTCAGTACGATAACATATATGTGTCATATGAATATGCTTGGTACTATTTTAATACGCTTAATTTGGATATTTTACGTCCTAGTTCACCAGTTAATACTAGAAATCCTAAGAACATGATTCTAAAATAAAGCTCGTATATATTGAGAGGGATTGATGAATGTTTAACGTCCAGCAGGTGATATTCTAAAAATATTTAGGACGAAATCTTTTTAAATTAAATGTTATATGAATATGAACCATGTTAAGTCGGATTTTTTTCAGGTGCTAGCTCAAATAGTAACATCCTTTAAGAATACAATTTATCCAACAAGGGCATGTTATTGCTACTTTGAGCCAATCAGATTTTGCTCACACTCATCCTCCTAAGAACTTAGGGAAGAAGCAACAATTTCCAATTTGAATGTTCGATTGAATAGGTAACAGGGATCGAATGAACGATCTCTCGCGTTCAAGACGATAACAATTCCACTGGTACAACAGTTTTTTCATAGACTGATGTATTTTCCGATTGACTATATATAAAATACATATACAAATATAGGTCATTGCAACGTTTTTATTTTGTCCTATTAAATGTAGAGTAAATATATTGTGTGTCCTAATGTGAATATTCTTTTTAGATTTATGTCTTTCATGTTTTGCCAAAAAATTAACTTTTGGCCATGGAAACAGTATGTCTACAGGATATTCAGACATGAAGTCCCATAAATACGAAAAAATGTAATTTTAGTAAGTTGTTGTTGTTAGGACAATTTTATGTACATAATATTATATTTATACTATGAAGTTTATTTTTTCATCATCAGGTTGTTCTTGCAAAGTTGCATTTTCATCGTACATTACCGAAGCCAGTGCAAATTCACAAAGTGCATCTATGACAGACGGAGCCATAATTAAATTTGATAGAATCGAGGCAAATTACGGACTGGGATACAGTACCAATACAGGAAAGTTTACAGCACCTTCCTCAGGTGTTTACGGGTTCACATGGACCTTTTGCGTCGATTCGCGTACTACTGACGGCGGCCCTTTGAATTACGGAGAATACGGCACAGAATTAATGAGGGGCAATTCCGTAATTGGCGTATTGCATACAGATACGGAAACGAAAAACGATGACGCATGCTCAACAGGTTTTGTCATCAAGTACATATCTGAAGGAATGGAAGTTTATGTCAGGAATAATTATGCTCACCAAGGAAAAATCTTGAGCAAGGAGAGTCAGACCAGAACAACATTCTCTGGATGGAAATTATATCAATGATATTTGAATTTGATAGTTTTATTCACCTCCTCGATTTTTTATTTAAATTAAGTGATTTTAGAAAGACGTGTTTTCTTCAATATTCCATGTCTTGCATTTTTAAAGAACATTTTAGTTCTTTGCATATTTTAAATTTAATGTCTTTTTTCATATGTTATCTGCTACAGTCCGGACAAGAATCATTTGCATTAATAAAGTTTTGTACTTCGAAATTTTATGCATTTTGATTGGAAATATTCCGAGGTCAGTTCCAAAGCAATAAGTCCAGGTTAAAACAAATAAACATGGAACTGATTACAAATAGCTCTGCATAAATTCTAAATCAAAGAAAGATCAGGCCGAAAGAGTAAGCAACTCTGCTATTCGTGTTATCACTTGTCATGTGATATCAGTTATTCAAGTAGCTGGTATATTCCATGGCAATGATTCCGACAAAAATAGTCAGATAGATAGTGAACATGACTGCGGTACCTATAACGGAGTTAGAATATTTCTCATGATTAGAGATACTGTTTAGAGATAAACCAATTCGGATGGATTATTTCAATCATCATTTCGTTTGTCATACACATTAAAAAATGCAATCTCTGCATCGTATATAACGTTTACTTCGACCAGACGTGGCTGCGTATTTATACATCCATCACTACCAGACTGTAGAAGTGTAAGGGATGACCATATTTATATACCCAAGTATAAGCATTGGGATGTTCATCATAAATAACAGGCACAGAAATGTTTGTAGCTGATTGTTAATATGTCGATATCCAAGACAAAACCTTTATAGAAAGATAGGCATTTCGTAATCCTCTACCCTCATCAACCATGGTTTATTTACATGTTTTGGATGATCGTTGGCATACAACAGTCTCCGGGACAAGTTTGCACTTCCGCTGAGTGCAAAAGTTGTCACCTTAATTTTTGGAGTTAAGTCAAAATGAAGTTGATAACTTGGTTGGTATTGGTTCCCTGATATTTGTCCTAAAAAATTTTGGCTCTAGCACCACTGTTGAAAAAGTTATGCCCCTTTTTTCAACAATTTCCTCAGAGGAAAAGTAGTTTTCCTCAAGGGAAATCAAATTTCCCTGAAGGAAAAAGATTTTTCCTTAAGGGAAATTGTATTTTCCTCAAGGGAAAAAGATTTCCCTTAGGGAATTTGCTGCATTAATATTTCCTTTGAGGAAATTCTATTTCCTGTGAGGAAATTTGCGGCTTCAAATTTTCCTTTGAGGAAATTCTATTTCCTCTGAGGAAATTTGAGGCTTCAAATTTTCCTCTGAGGAAATACTTTTTCCTGTGAGGAAATTTGCGGCTTCAAATTTTCCTTTGAGGAAATACTTTTTCCTGTGAGGAAATTTTGTCAACAGCAATTTCCTGTGAGGAAATTTTTGACAAACACTTTTCCTTGAGGGAAAATTCAAGACCACAAATTTCCTCTAAGGAAAATATTGTTCTCCAAATTTCCTCTATGGAAATTTCTCTTATTCAATTTTTACCTCTATGAAAATTTCATAACAGTAAAAACAGTATGAATATAATTTTTCCTGAGACTGAATAATTAATACAAAAGATAATTAAAACTTTAATAAAATGTTCACTGATGAGTAACATGACATACAAAAACAATAGGCTAGCTGTTTGAGACAATACAATAATAAGCATAACGCTATGAATATCATACTATTTGTGATGTTATCAATATTGTGCTCATATTTGCAGATTAAATAAAATAACCACTTTTCATGTTAATTTAACTTTTCTGCTGCGTACAATTATTCAATCCCCTACAAAACAGTTCAGTGCATAAATAATTCCATCCACCAGACATCTTCCTTCAATTGGTAGAGAATACATTTTTGCAATTTGTTCTTCAAACATCTTCCTCTATATAGTTGATATGACAGAGCTATGTACATGAATGGATAAAGCTGGTGTTTATTTCGACAAAAAAAATACTATTTTTTCTACATTTCTCCCTAATCCTTCAGTGTAGGTTGTTGCAATTACACAATTGTGTTCTTGTGCATCTATGATTGTACTCCATTTTGTTTACAGCCATTTTGTAGAAATTTCCTATTTTCTTTTTCCAGGTAAGCACACATTTCATTTCACATTAATCCAATTAGCACACAATGTAGAAAAGTATTAACCTTAAGTTTCCTCTTCTGTATTGATCTGTTGATGATCATGAAAACCAAGAAGTCTCTGCACCTATAAATACACAAAATATAAATTGAGAAAAAAACAGCAATATGAAATAAGCTTATTTTATCATGTTTAATATGAACATTTTGAGAAACTTAAATTTGATATTCCTACTAATCATGATTATGAGTTCTGTTATTTCAGTGCTTTGTGTCCACGACTTAATATCAGTCGTTTTAGTGCCTTGCAGTAATAATGAGTTGAGCCACTTGCAACAGTTTTTACAGTTTGTTCATATGTTGTGCTATTTGAACCACTGTCCTAGATTATGGTTAGGTGGAGTGCTAAGAGACATGATTTTTTTATTACTTGTTATTGGCTTTGAACTAATTTAGATTGTTTAAATCTTTTCATGTTGGGGTCTTTATTGGCTGACTTATAAGGTATGGGTTTTCTCATTATCGAAGGCCGTCATTGGTCTTTAATTGCTTGCATCCACTTCATTGAACTCTGGTGGATAGATAACTCATTTACCATACCACATCTTCTTATTTTTATAGTAGTCATTCAAGGGCAATCACACTTATTATATAGAAGTGGTCTTACCATTTAGGCCTTGTTGTCTTCTGTTTATCTTGTTTTGCCGATCATTTCTACTGTACAGTTGTAATTGTTTATATTTTTCTTTATCTTCTATATTTCTTGCCCTAAACTTAAAAAAGGTAAAAACTATAATTTAATGACAGTCACTATAACTATTATTATACATCAGTATGTGTTTTTCTATATACCATGATATAAAAAAGAATGAAATATTTGTGCTATTTCATTTCACAGACTATTTGCCAGTCAACAGTTTCAAAGACATAACCACGGTCAATAGTTTAACAAACAAACATTCCCGTACTTTTTCATCGTGTTCATACTAATTTTTCAATGGACAACAATGACGTGATTAACTATTCTTCTATGATTTGTGTGCTTGACAACATTAAACTCTGAAATATTGTTAACAGTATAATCTGTATGTGTCTGTCGTCAAAATTTCAAATTAATATATTACTTACAGAAGCAATTAAAACAAGAGGCTCACAAAATGAATGTGGTCTAAGAACTTAAAAATATCTAATTTACCTATTCAAACCATATCATTATTATTTGCTTTTATATATAAATCAGAAATAACCAATTTAAAATGGAAAATTTTAAAGAAAACAAAAGGAAAAAAAGTTAAAAAAAATCCCCCAAATGTTTGGAACCCCCTTATGATTCATCACCCCAAAACTCAATCCCAGCCTTCCCTATGTGGTACATTACCTTGCAGTACAATTTCAGAGAGATCCATACACTTGAACACAAAGTTATTGTCTGGAAACAAGAAAAATGCTTGTTTTTTGGCCCCTTTTTGGCCCCAAATTCCTAAACGTTTAGGGCAATTACCCCCAAACTCAATCCCAGTTTTCCCCTTGTGATATGGAACCTTGTAGTACAATTTCATAAAGATCCATACACTTACACACAAGTTATTGTCCTAAAACTAGCAAAATGCTTGTTTTTTGCCCCTGTTTTGCCCCTAATTCCTTAAATTTTGAGGCAATTACCCCCAAAATCAATTCCAGCCTTCCCTTTGTGGTATGGTACCTTGCAGTACAATTTCAGAGAGATCCATACACTTGAACACAAGTTATTGTCTGGAAACTAGAAAAATGCTTATTTTTGGCCCCTTATTCCTGAACATTTTGGGCAATTACCCCTGAAATCAATTCCAGCTTTCCCTTTGTGATATGGAACCTTGTAGTACAATTTCAGAAAGATCCATACACTTACACACAAGTTATTGTCATGAAACTAGAAAAATGCTTGTTTTTTGCCCCTTTTTGGCCCCTAATTCCTAATATTTTGAGGCAATTACCCCCAAAATCAATCCCAGCATTCCCTGTGTGATATGGAACCTTGTGGTACAATGTCAGAGAGATCCATACACTAACACACAAGTTATGTCTGGAAGTTACAAAAATGCTTATTTTTGGCCCCTTTTTGGCACCTAATTCCTTAACTGTTGGTACCATAACCCCGAAAATCAATCCCAACCTTCCCTTTGTGGTATTGAACCTTATGGTAAAATTTCATAGAGATCCATTCACTTAAACTAAAGTTAGAGTGCGAAAACCAATGTGTCTTCGGACGAAGACGACGACGCCAACGTCATACCAATATACAACCGCAAAAATTTTTTGCGGTCGTATAAAAATCTTTAAGCTATAACTCAAAATATGGACAATTTTATGTTTAAAGGGTCTTTAATTTAGTTTGACAACTTCACAGACATACTAATATTTGACCTTTTCAAACTATACCAAATCACTACTTAGGCCCCAAAAAAATGTCTGTTTAAGGTTACATACTTTAGAAAAAACGGCTAGGTAAGATGGTATTTCCATTTTATTTTATTTTATTTTTTCATTTTATTTTTTGCGACATGATTTTGAGTCATGCCGTTTCGTATTGTCGTGGTCCGAGTTGATCCTTGGCCGAGTT